TTTTTCCCATTATTGATCTTTGCAAACAGATAACTGTAAAAAAAGAACTATCTAAATTCTTCCCTTTTCTTACCAATGAAAATATTAAAAATTGCAATCTATGCTATAACTTAGGGTAATAAGTTACCTTAAAACAAATGACTACACCACAGAAACAGGTATCTTGAACTTGGCCAATCAACAGGTAAACTTTTCCACTTCTTCTCTTTCGCATATACATCAATTGGTTGCCACGTCAAGGAGGCAGGAGTTTAAGATTAGCTGAATTTAGAACTAGGATTTCACCTACTCTATGCCTCTGAAACCCAAAACAGCAGTCTGATAATTTCTCTGCATCTTTAGACCTGTCACTGCTCTAGGAATTATAACCAGCCCATGTGACTTAACCTCTTTTTAAAATTCACTTCAGGCTCAGGCTGAAATTTTCTAGGAAGAAGCTAGTGCAAGATCAGAGGGATCTGCTTGGCCACACATAACACCGGACATTTGGTAACTCCATTAACCAGATCATCTAACTACAATAATTTGCAGCATCAATTTTAAACTCAGCCGAGGGCAAGCCTTATGAATAGGGAGAAGCTACCTGTATGAAAAGCACTAAACAGTTTTCCTTGATCTAACTCACATCATTCCTGCAGGAGAGATGCTACTGGGAGGGGAACTGTGACAGCTGAGAGGAACGGGGTCTGGAGGAAGGGACTGCAAAGAGAAAACTATTCAATGTTCACCTCTGTCTTTAGGCATAAAACCTGGCTTCTCTGACGTTCAAACCATTCAGCAACCCTTATCTTTCATCGCCATCATTATCTAACAACCTACCTGTCTGTCACTCACCCTCACTCCTTTAAAGCTTTGGCACCAAGTTTACAGACCTCCTCTCTGCCCCACGTCCTGTCATCAGCCTGGGTCACTTGGATGTCCATGTGGACAACCCATCTAAGGCCCTGCCTTCTTACTTCCCTAATTCCATATCTTTAAGTTCTCCACTCCACCTCAGCCACCCACTCAGTGTCCACACCAGGAATGGCGCAACCTCTGACATTTAAACATTTGAGGCTCTGACTATAACCAAATATAGTTAAATATACAAAAGTAACCTCTCATTTTACAAAGGTATTACATAAATAGAATTTTGTCTTACGTGCTCACCCCGATACAGGAAGGAAGCACAGAAGCAGCAACATACATTAGTATGTAGAGAAAAAAGGATTCTATAACTGTTTCAGTATTACCGTAGCAATTTAAAAATCCTCATCTAAGCTTACAAAATGAACTGAAAGAGACCATGGACTTAGAACGGTGCAATAAAGAGGTTCTGAATAGGGAGAAAGTGTGGTATAATGGTTAATAGCTTTAGAGTCAAACTTCTTGGTTTCAAATTCCAGCTTGCCTTTGGACAAGTTACTTAACTTATTTAAGCAAAAGTTTCCTCATCTGTAAAATGGGGATAATAATAGTAGGGTTGTTGTGAAGATCCAATGAGATAGGATACCCAAAGCACTTTGTACAGTGCCAGAAACAAAGGAAACCTTCAACAGAGGTAATCTATTCCTCTTATTAGAAATAAGAATATACAAGGCCAAGGTCATTTATTTAGGTAAATCACTTGAGAAATTCTATAAACCTATGAGGACCCTCCCAGTTGAAGTTACATATTTAAACATACGAGAAAATTAATTTCTAATA